CCTGTGTTTAATTCGGTTTTCAATTGAACTTTCTTAAAAGTCCTCACAGCATCCTGCAGGACTGACTGTCTCATCAGTGTCACCAGTCTTCAGTCTTTGTGAATCTTTCAGGAAGATAATGCCTTTTTTTGACAAATGCTCTCATCTGTGCACACCATCTGGAGTTACTATTTTCCCACATCAGCTATATTCAGTCTTTATAAGCCTTTAAAAACATATTATATATATTTTTGCACTTCCCCAAAGCCTAGGCAAGCTGCTCTTTAAACCTGTTCATTGTACAATCTCCAGACACCAGCAGAAAAACAGGAATGTAAACATTTTTGCTTTAAATGCACATGCCCACTTCAGATTTCTGATCCATCACACAAACAGGAGATGTGTTGAGAACAAGCTGCAAAGAGCAGCGACAAACAAAATGGTGTCATTTTTTTCTCTTAGCCCTGGGAGAGAAAACAAAGTTTTCACTTTTTGCAGCACATCGCTCCAAAAATGACCAGATTATTCCTTTAACACACAAAGCTAGATAGCTATTTTCATACTGAAATGTAGAGATTATAAATGCASGTTAGGCCTTAMAYWTGTTATTATTACACTGGCAGATTATTTAGTTTAATTTGAATCAGAATCTTCTCAAATGAAGTGAAATAATTTGCCAGTGCACTAAGACAACTGTAATAATAAGACTTATTGAAATAAGGATAAAAAATCAGGCTGACAAAATTAAATATTTACACTGTGTTTTTCAAAGAGGGGGCAGCAGTCCCCAGGCCGGCCACAAGGGGGTGATAGAGGGGCCTCATTAAGCTGAAGGGAATAAAAGGAAAATAAATCAATGCTTTTCAATCATCATTTTAAAATAAGTCTTAATAATATACTGAAACATTATTTAAGAGAGCTTTGAGGTTTCATTTCTTTTGTTCTGATCTTCTCATCAACAGTTTGTTTTTTCAGTGCAAATATAATAGTGTTTAAAGCATGTTAGTAAAAATTCTTGTGCTAAACAAATGCGATAATTATTAAATAGTGAATAAAAGTGAGGAAAAAACATTCTAAGAATAAATTTTCTTTTCATGTTTTGTAGCATTTTTCGTGGATTTGCAAAGGGGCCCCGGCCATTAGCCAATGATAATAAGAACAATTTCTTATTAACGCAATAAACAAAAAGTTGCATGTATGAAGTAAAATATGGTTTATGTGATTTTTCTTGGGTTCAGCTTGACTTAATTACTTTCATTATCTAAGCAGGTTTATGACTGACCTATAAATCAATTATTCTGTGTTCATATCAGGTCAGAATTATTTTAAGTTAAGCTTCAAGTTTTTGTTTTTATTTAGTTCATGAGGAAATGTTCTTACCTGCCAGCAGACTGAGAAGGGAYGTTTTCTCACGGCAAAAATTGTCCATTTAACAAATGCAATCTTATATCAGCCAAAAAGTATTTCTGATCTTGTTTTGAGACTGAAACACGACACACAGAAAGTGTTAGATCAGGGGTCTCCAAACTTTTCCATGTCATGGCCCCTCAAACAGCATCAGCTTCTGTCCGGGTGCCTCCTTTACAAATCCAAAAGAAAAATGCTACAAAATATGTAAAGAAAAATTACTTTTGTTTTTTCCTCAATTTCAGTCACTTTTCAGGAATTATTGCATTTGTTTAGCACAAGAATTTTTACTAACATGTTTTAAACACTATTATAGTTACACTGAAAAAACAAACTGTTGATGAGAAGATCAGAACAAAAGAAATGAAAACTCAAAGCTCTCTTAAATAATGTTTCAATATATTATTATGACTTATTTTAAAATAATGATTGAAAAGCATTGATTTATTTTCCTTTTGTTCCCTTCAGCTTTCTGAGGCCCCTCTAGCACCCCCTTGTGGCCGGCCTGGGGACCGCTGCCCCCTCTTTGAAAAACACTGTTAGATTATTAATTTTGTTAACCTGAATTTTTTATCATTATTTCAAGAAGTCTCATTTAGTACAGTTGTCTTAGTGCCCTGGCAAATTATTTCACTTAATTTGAGAAGATTCTGATTCAAATTAAGTGAAATAATCTGCCAGTGTAATGTTGTTTGAACGTGTGCACTGGTAAGGCCTAACATGTGCATTTATAATCTCTACATTTCATGGACTACTACATTTATTTATTTATTTATTTATTTATTTATTTATTTATGTATTTCATAAAACAAAACAATCTACACACAGTAAAATACAAATATGCCATGTATGAAAATGGTGCAGTGAAGAAAAAATATTTTTATCTTCTTCTTATTAAAAAAACTTCAACAAAAAACCCCTCAAGCTTTAATAATCTCCATATTTACAAAAATATACAAAAAAACCAGATATATTTTACCTTTAGCCTTGTGCTACATTTAGCAGCCATTTTATTTTTAGCTAGGATTTTTGCTACATTTAACTTTTAGTTAGCATTTTTCTAAATTTAGCTTTTAGCCAGAGTTTAGTTTCTTTTATTCATCTGTTATCTTTACTGGTTTCTTCCTGGACTGGTCTCACAGGGACACAAAGAGACAAACCAGTCAACCAACCATTCACTCGCTCGCTCTGACTTTTTGGAGTGGTGGCGCAGAAGTGGGAAAAGGTGAGTCTGTGATTTGAAGGTTGCCGGTTCAACTCCCAGAACCAACCAGGCCCACTTTGGGCCCTTGAGCAAGGCTCTCGACACCTCAGCTGCTCCCCAGACGCTGTAATTGTCAGCCCACTGCTCACGTGTGATGGTTAAAATGCAGATAATTAATTTGCCCTCTGCGGGACGATAAAGGCAAATAATAAATCCAAAAATATTCAGAGTTACCAGCTAAGCTAACAGTCATGTTTTTGTTTCTGGCAGCAAACTGGAGTACTTAAAGAAAACCCACACATGCACAGAGAGAACATGCAAACATTACATAAAAGATCCCTGGATGGGATTCAATCTGGCAACCTTCAGCTCTGCCAACTGAGCCCTTCTGTCTGTTGTCTTATATTTATTGTTCAGCTTTTAGCTGGTCTTTTACTGCTTTTAGCTAAAATCTTCATTCTTTTAGTGTTTTTTATATTTTAGCTAGTGTTGGCTATAAAAAGGCAACTTTTCAATTTTAGCCATGATTTTTCTACATTTAATTTTTGTCTAGCCTCACGACACATTTAGGTTTCAGCCTTTTCCTACTTTTCATTTTGAGCTAGCATTTAGCTGCCTTTGGCTAWAATTTTGCTACACTATATTTGAGCTTGTTATAATTTTAAGTGTGTTGTCGTCCGTTTTGTGTTTGCTAAATCATTTCTCTGTGGTGGAAGTCTTGAATCAAATGGCTTCAAAAGGTAATTTATTTCTAGTTTCTTTTATCCATCCAGGGCTACGAGAGAGAGGCTCTCAGGTAATTGTTATGAGCACAAACACAAAAGCATTGCTGCTTGCGGCATGGCAAGCCATTTTAGCATATAATCAGTTAACTCTAGATGTCTAAAAATGAGTTTTGACTAGGAATAACTACATTTTGACTATCCGGATTGTTAATTAAAGATATCTGTATTAACATTCTGACTAGTCATAATTCCTATTCAAGATATCTTAAATGAATTTTTACTAGTCATAATTACAGTTCTAGATACCTCTAATTTAGTTTTGACTGGTCAAATTTTTATTTGTGATATCTAAAAGTACATTTAAGATATCTTAAAT